GGAGCTCTGGAATGTCGGCGAGGAGGAGCTCTGGAATTCTGGGGGGAGGAGGAGCTCCGGAATGTCGGGAAAGGGGCGGGGGGGGGTCTTGAAATTTCTGGAGGAGGGGACTCCGGAATGTCGGGCAGAGGCGGGAGGAGGAGCCCCGGAATGTCGGCAAGGCGGGAGGAGGCTCCGGAATGCTGGCGGGAGGAGGAAGCCCCGGGAAGCCGGGCAGAGGAGGTAAAGGGGGAGCCCCGGGAAATTCTGGCAGAGGGGGAAAGAGTCTTGGAATGTCGGGCGGGGGGAGGAGCCCCAAATTGATAGACTGCCCCCCCAGAGTGCCCCGGATTTATTAAAATTTGGGCAGAGGAATATTTTGCGCCCCCCCGGGGGGACAGCGCCCGCCTCGACCCCCCCCCCCCCCCCAACCTGCAGCTCAGCTCTCCCCCTCCCACCGGGCCCCGGGGTCCCCCCCCCCCACATACGCCAAGTACTTACCTGCCCCCCTCTCCCCCCACATGCCGGTGTACTTACCGCCCCCGCCACTCCCCCCACAGGCCGTGTACTTACCGCCCCCCTCTCTTCCCACAAGCCGAGTACTTACCGCCCTCCCTCTCTCCCCACACGCCATTAACTTATCTGCCCCCCCTCTCTCCCTCTCCCCCCACATGCCGTGTTACTTGCCCGCCCCCTCTCTCACCCCCCAACATGCCCGTGTACTTTACCGCCCCCCTCTCCCCACACATGCCCGTGTACTTACCGCCACCCCTCTATCGTCCTCCCACACGCCCATTTAACTTTTACTACTGCGCCCCCCCCTCTCCACCCCACAAGGCGCGTGTACTTTTTACCCGCTCCCCCTCTCCCCCCACAGCGTCAATAAACTTACTGCCACCCCCCTCTCCCCCCACACAGTCCCGTGTACTTGCCAGCCCCCTTCATCTCCCCCCACATGAGAGTGTTATTACCCCCCGCCCCCCATAGTGGGTGTGTTGTAGATGTTTCTCTTCTCTGGAGGATGTCATTGGATGATTTATAGCAGAAAGTAGAGCATATGGGGGGAGGGTCAGTGTGTGTGGGGAGGGGTCAGTGTGAGTGTTAGGGAGGGGTCAGTGTGGGGGGAGGGGTCAGTGTTAGGGAGGGTCAGTGTGGGGGGAGGGGTCACTTCATACATTCCAGGAAACCAGCCGAGGTATATGATACATTTATAGAGAAGAGTTCCTGCATCTCCTCTTCACCCTTTTGATTGGAGGGTGTAATGTGAGGGGGAGGGGACACATCCTGCACCATGGATACATGATACCACCTTCACTGATGAACTCACAGGGGGTGGGGGGGGGTGGGGGGGGGAATCTCCCTACCGGGGGAACAGGGGGGGGGGGGGGAAATCTCCCCTACCGGGGGAACAGTACAGTGGGGGGGGGGGGAAATCTCTCCCTAACCGGGGGGAAACGGGGGGGGGAAAATCTCCCTACCGGGGGAACAGGTGGGGGGGGGGGAATCTCCCTACCGGGGGATACAGGGGTGGGGTGGGGGAGGGAAATGTTTCGCCCATACAGTGGGGGAACACGGGTGTGGGGGGTAGAGGGAATCTCCCTACCGGGGGAACACGGGGGTGGGGGAGGAATCTCCCTACCGGGGGAACAGGGGGGGGGGAAATCGTCCCTACCTGGGGGAACACGGGTGTGGGGGGGAATCTCCCTACCGGGGGAACACGGGGTGGGGGGGGAGGGAATCTCCCTACCGGCGGGAACACGGGGGTGGGGGGGGGAGGGAATCTCCCTACCGGGGGAACAGGGGGGGGGGAAATCTCCGCTACCGGGGGAACACGGGGTGGGTGGGGGGGAATCTCCCCTACCGTGGGGGGAAAACACGGGGGGGGGGAGAGGAATCTCCCTACCGGGGGAACACTGGGTGGGGGGGAGGGAATCTCCCTACGGGGGGAACACGGGGTGGGGGGGAGGAATCTCCCTACCGGGGGAACACGGGGTGGGGGGAGGGAATCTTCGACGGACAGCAATAATACCTGGCGGGGTCTAGCCCCCCATCCCCCTCCACTACAAAATCAGAGGTTTTTGAATTTAGAAGACAACAAACCTCCAATAATAATAAATGGTGTCACATCCATCGTACCCCCCCGACCTGCGGAGCCCCCCCGCCCTGCGGAGCCCCCCCGCCCCCCATGCGGAGCCCCCCCGCCCTGCGGAGCCCCCCGACCCTGCAGACAAATATCTGACAATCCCAGTCTGGGGGTACTGATGGGCCAAAATGTCAGGATGGTTTTTTTTTTTTTTTTCATCCCATCAAATCCGAGCGCGCTACAGCGCCCCCCTCTGACTGCTGATGGCATGGGAGGAATATTTGTTTTACTCTAATTTTTTTTTTTTTTTTTTTTTTTTTTTCTTTTTACTTCCTGTCTTAGAGTGTAAAGCTCCTCTGGTACAGAGACTGATGTGACTGTGGGAGGGGGACATTAGAGTGTAAGCTCCTCTGGTACAGAGACTGATGTGACTGTGGGGGATGGGACATTAGAGTGTAAAGCTCCTCTGTACAGAGACTGATGGACTGCGGGGGGAGGGGACATTAGAGTTGTAAGCTCCTCTGGTACAGAGACTGATGTGACTGTTGGGGGAGGGGACATTAGAGTGGATAAGCTCCTCTGTACAGAGACTGATGTGACTGTGGGGGGGGAGGGGACATTAGAGTGTAAGCTCCTCTGTACAGAGACTGATGTGACTGTGGGGGAGGGGACATTAGAGTGTAAGCTCCTCTGTACAGAGTACTGATGTGACTGTGGGGGAGGGGACATTAGAGTGTAAGCTCCTCTGTACAGAGACTGATGGGACTGTGGGGGAGGGGACATTAGATGTAAGCTCCTCTGTACAGAGTATCTGATGGGACTGTGGGGGAGGGGACATTAGAGTGTAAGCTCCTCTGTACAGAGACTGATGGGACTGCGTGGGGGAGGGGACATTAGAGTGTAAGCTCCATCTGGTACAGAGACTTATGTGACTGCGGGGGAGGGGACATTAGAGTGTAAGCTCCTCTGTACAGAGACTGATGGGACTGTGGGGGAGGGGACGTTAGAGTGTAAGCTCCTCTGTACAGATGGATGTGAGTGTGGGGGAGGGGACATTAGAGTGTCAGCTCCTCTGTACAGACTGGATGTGAGTGTGGGGGAGGGGACATTAGAGTGTCAGCTCCTCTGTACAGACTGATGTGAGTGTGGGGGAGGGGATGTTAGAGTGTAAGCTCCTCTGGTGCAGAGACTGAATGGGAGTGTGGGGGGAGGGGGACATTAGAGTGTCAGCTCCTCTGTACAGTGCCGTGGTCTATGTTGGAGTTGCGTGTGACGCTGAGTTCTCCTCCGTGACGCTGGTCTCCTCCGTGACGCTGTTACTCTCCTCCTCCTCTTGCAGTCTATCACTGGGTGGAGATGCGAGCGAAGATGAGGATTATGGGATTCCGTGGCGCGCGGCCATTAAGCCCCTGAATGAAGAAGCGGCAGCGGATCTGGGGGGGCAGGAGCTTCTGGGAGAAGCCATCGTCTTCCTGGTGGGAGGCGGGGGCAGTCTGGTATTGAGTATTCCCGGCAGGCGACCAATAGCCAGGTCGGAAGGAGGAGGAGCTGGAGGCCAGACTGGGCGCCATGGAGCGGAGATCGCCCGCCTGGGCCTGCACAGCGAGGAGCTGGACGCCACGAGCGCGATCCGCAGAGAGACAACAAATGGCAGCCAAGTGATAGTGAGCTCTGTGATTGGAATGTTGGTGATCCCCCCTCGGAGGATGGGCGGGGCCAGGGAGGCGGGGCCCCCAGGAGGTGACGGCGATGTGATGAATACACAGAAGACAGAATGGAAGCAAAAAGTTTTATTTCTAGAAAACCGATTATAAAAAAACAAAAGGTCCCATATACAGTATATATATACGGCATATGAAGGTCTCCGGGCCCCGGGGCCCCTCCAGCCGTCCAGTGTCTGACCCTAAACACCTCATGACAGATACCCGCCACCGACTACAACCTGCCGCCCTACAAATTGTACAAAACTTGAAATGATTCCGAAATAATACAAAATAAACCCGTTATATCCCCTATAGAAATTCGAATTGGTCCCGAAGCGTGCGTCCTCTGCCACCCGCTCCAAGGGGCTCCACAGCATGGGGGGGGGTGGGATAACATGGGCGGGCAAGGAGGTGTGTGACGGGAAAATGCAGGGGTGGAGATGGGGGGTGATGGGATAACATGGGCGGGGCAACGAGGTGTGACGGGAAAATGCAGGGGGTGGGGATGGGATAACATGGGCGGGGTGGCAACGAGGTGTGACGGGAAAATGCAGGGGTGGAGATGGGGGGGGGGGTGGGAATGGGATAACATGGGAGCGGGGCAACCAGGTGTGGACGGGAAAATGGGGCGGGCAGGGTGGAGATGGGGGGGGCAACGAGGTGTGACGGGAACATGGGCGGTGGCAACGAGGTGTGACAGGAACATGCAGGGGTGGAGATGGGGGGGGAGGGTTGATGGGATAAACATGGGCGGGGCAACGAGGTGTGACAGGAACATGCAGGGGGGTGATAGGAAAAAGGGTGCAGGGGTGAAGATAAGACGAGAGGGTTGATGTCATAATGGGGGGGGTCAGAGCAAGGGGGTGATGGGATGAGGGGGTTGGAGCAAAGGGGGGGTTAGAGGGGGTAAAGGAATGTTGCGGGGGCGAAGCATGGGACCAGGATGATGGGGGAGGGTATTTGTTGAAGGCTGAGGAAGAGGATACGGGGGGGGGGGGGGGTATTGTGGAGGAGATGGTGGATAGAGGAATGTTGGGGGAATGAGGATAGGGGGGGGGTCGTGCCTAGAAAATGATTAGTTGGGGGAGAATGGTGGGAAGGCGACATGTGCCTAGGGAATGTTTGGTTGGGTGGGGGGTGGTGCCTAGGGAATGTTAGTTTAGTTGGGGAGCGTGGGTGCCCGGGAAAATGGTTATGGGGGCAAAGGAGAGGGGGTGGTGCCTAGAGAATGTTAGTTGGGGGCGGTGCCCGGGAAATGTTGGTTGGTGGGAGGATGTGGAGGGGGTGGTTGCCTAGAGAATGTTGGGGGGGGCGGTGCCGGGAGACATGTTGGTTGGGGGAGGAGAGGGGGTGGTGCCCGGTAGAGAATGATTAGTTGGGGGCAGGACCCTAGGGAAATGTTGGTTGGGGTGGTGGTGCCGGGAAATGTTGGTTGGGGGAGGAGATGGAGAGGGGGTGGTTTGCCTAGGGAATGTTAGTTGGGGGTGTTGGTGCCTGGGAAATGTTGGTTGGAGATAGGGGAGGAGAGGGGCGTGAGTTGCCTAGAGAATGTTTTAGTTGGGGCAGGGCCTAGGGAATGTTGGTTGGGGGAGGAGAGGGGGGTGGTGCCTAGGAAATGTTAGTTGGGGCCGATGCCGGGGAAATGTTGGTTGGGGGGTGGAGTGCCCAAGGAATGATGCCACGTGGAATGTCACGGGGGGGGGCGGAATACGAGGGGGAGGGGGGCAGTTCACAGGTGTGAATGTGCAATTCATGACCAGGTGACCACGTCACCAGTAGGGGGTTGCTAGAAGCCTTTCCTGGCTGCTCAATTACTAAATGGTGCTAGCTGCACAGTCAGAGGAAGAGTGCTGAGCTGTGGGTGGAGCCTGAGTCATCCAAAGGGGAGGAGCTGAGGTCTACGGAGCGTGCTCTGATCTCCGCAGTTCTGGATCAGCGCTGCAAATAGAAAGAGAGAGAATGTTCGGCGATCAATAATGGCTCCCAATGTAGGGGGTGAGAACCTTCTGGTACACATCCCACCCAGCTGATGCCCCCCACCCCCCCCCCATGATCAAATGTCAGCCCCTCCCAGGCTCAGCCATCTTTCCCATGTTTGTGGGGGGTTTGGGGGGAGAATTTGCTTTCCTCATTGGTCCACCTTCAGATCTCTACACAGTCTGTTAGTCGTCATTAGTGGTGCTGTAAGGGGGGGGGGGGGGGGGGGGGGGGGGGGAGGTGTAGAGCAGCTGTACAGTGGCAAACCACTCAAGATTCTATGTTTCATCTTCAAAGAATTGCTGAAGAACCAAACTGGGAATCTGATTGTCTGCCATGTACATTGGCACCAGCCTCTCCAACCTTGCTGAGATCGGGGGGTCACTCTGGCAGATCCCCCCGACTGGGAACACCCACCACCCATAGTGGAATATAAACCCCTCAGGGCCCCATCACCCTCAGTGGCCCACCGTGCCTCAGGGCCCCACACGCCTAGGGCCCCTGCAAGCACCAAATGCCACCTGATGGAGACAAACTTTAGGCGTCCTGGAAGGATGGAAGAGAACTCTCTAGCCAAAAATCGCAGACTACTTATCAAAAGTGAAGCGAACCCCCCCCTCCAACCCCTTCTCCTCCATCCCCCCACCCCCCCTCTCCTCCTCCATCCCCCCCCTTCTCCTCCATCCCCCCCTATCCCTCCCATCTCCCCCCCCCCCTTCACCACCCCCCCCCCCCCATCTCCTCCATCCCCCCCCCCCCAACTCCTCCCTCTCACCCCCACCCCCTTCTCCTCCATCTACCCCCCCCCCCAACTCCTCCAACACACCACCCTCCCACATTTCCTCCCACCCCACCATCACACGCCCCCCCTATCAACACCCCACACCAACAACAACACCCCCCCCCCCCAAAACCCCCAACACGCTCCCCAAAACCACCGGCGTCACCCCTCTCCCAATCACTCCACCTCCATCACCCCCCCCCCCCCCCTTCTCCCCCACCATCCCCCCCCATCTCCTCCTCCATCCCCCCCTCGAACACCATCCCCATCCCCCCTCATCACCACCATCTTCCCCCCCCCTCCACCAACCCCCCCCCACCCGGTCCACATATACTGCACCTCTGCTGGAAGAGGAAACTCCAATGCAGGCTCTGAGAATGGAGATGGATCAAATTCCAGACATGCTCCGGCCAGCTTGGCGCAGTGGAACCAGTCGAACGATCATAGGAAGTCACATCGGTGCAGATGGACAGCAAGCTGGACTGGTTGCCATAACAATTGCGTTTCATGCTGCAGAGAACGTTGCCAAAGTCCTAGAGACAGTCCTTGCTGTCCATCTACACCTCCCCATGGCTTCCTCCCAGCGAGTTCCACACCCGATGACGTCACTTCCGGGGCGCCAAGCTGGCCGGAGGGGTTCTGTGGGCTTTCCAGTGGAACTCGGTCTATCTCCGTCCGTTCTCCAAGTCCTGCATTGGACTTCCTCTGCCAGCGGAACCGCAGCACAATGGGACCGGGGGAGGGGGAGAAACGGGGGAGGGAGAGGGGGGGGGGGTTCTCTCACTTTGATATGACTTTTAGCCAAAAGTTCGTTCTTTTCCATCCATCCACGAGCACAATCTACCTCAGGACGACATTGTTGGTGTGGAGGGGTCCTGAGCGCGGTGGGGAGGGGTCCTGAGCGCGGTGGGGAGGGGTCCTGAGCGCGGTGGGGAGGGGTCCTGAGCGCGGTGGGGAGGGGTCCTGAGCGCGGTGGGGAGGGGTCCTGAGCGCTGCGGTGGGGAGGGGCCCTGAGCGCGGTGGGGAGGGGTCCTGAGCGCGGTGGGGTTTTGGGTTTCCTCCACTTGTGGTTCACATGTCCAGTCGGTACGGACAAATCAGTGAGACACGGCACCAGACTCTTTGGTTTTGGGTTTATAAAGGATTCGTTTGTGCTCAGAACGACTTTATAAAATCTGTCATAATATGTGTATATTCTCCACTGGCCCATAGATGGCGCCCTCACAGTGCTCTCCATAGCTCTGTACACACAGCAGTCACTGACCCCGCCTCCTCCCTCGGTGGCTCCCAATTGGACGTACAGGTGGCTCTAGTACCCTCCTTGGACACCTCCTTGTGCTCTGGGAGTCCTTTGTCAGCTGTATGTGTGGATAACATTTTATTTATATGTAAAAATAAACCCCAAACTCTCCTCTGATTGGATGATTTCCTTTCCCTGTGTAAGGATCGGAGTAGTTATTGGCTCGTTCCACACCCTCTTCTGCTTCACATTGTAGTCTATGGGCCGACCTACCCGCCAAACGCCACGCGCTCCCTGTGGGGCCAACCTACCCGCCAAACGCCACGCGCTCCCTGTGGGGCCAACCTACCCCCAAACGCCACGCGCTCCCTGTGGGGCCGACCTACCCGCCAAACGCCACGCGCTCCCTGTTGGGGCCAACCTACCCGCCAAACGCCACGCGCTCCCTGTGGGGCCAACCTACCCGCCAAACGCCACGCGCTCCCTGTGGGGCCGACCTACCCGCCAAACGCCACGCGCTCCCTGTGGGGCCAACCTACCCGCCAAACGCCACGCGCTCCCTGTGGGGCCAACCTACCCGCCCCAAACGCCACGCGCTCCCTGTGGGGCCCACCTACCCGCCAAACGCCACGCGCTCCCTGTGGGGCCCACCTACCGCCAAAAACGCCACGCGCTCCCTGTGGGGCCCACCTACCCGCCAAACGCCACGCGCTCCCTGTGGGGCCAACCTACCCGCCAAACGCCACGCGCTCCCTGTGGGGCCGACCTACCCGCCAAACGCCACGCGCTCCCTGTGGGGCCGACCTACCCGCCAAACGCCTGACGCGCTCCCTGTGGGGCCCGCCAAACGCCACGCGCTCCCTGTGGGGCCCACCTACCCGCCAAACGCCACACGCGCTCCCTGTGGGGCCATCCTACCCGCCAAACGCCCGCGCTCCCTGTGGGGCCCACCTACCCGCCAAACGCCACGCGCTCCCTGTGGGGCCCACCTACCCGCCAAACGCCACGCGCTCCCTGTGGGGCCCACCTACCCGCACAAACGCCACGCGCTCCCCTGTGGGGCCCACCTACCCGCCAAAACGCCACGCGCTCCCTGTGGGGCCGACCTACCCGCCAAACGCTCCCTGTGGGGCCGACCTACCCGCCAAACGCCACGCGCTCCCTGTGGGGCCCGCCAAACGCCACGCGCTCCCTGTGGGGCCACCTACCCGCCAAAAACGCCACGCGCTCCCTGTGGGGCCATCCTACCCGCCAAACGCCACGCGCTCCCTGTGGGGCCGACCTACCCGCCAAACGCCACGCGCTCCCTGTGGGGCCATCCTACCCGCCAAACGCCACGCGCTCCCTGTGGGGCCGACCTACCCGCCAAACGCCACGCGCTCCCTGTGGGGCCATCCTACCCGCCAAACGCCACCCGCTCCCTGTGGGGCCATCCTACCCGCCAAACGCCACGCGCTCCCTCTAGGGCCGACCTACCCGCCAAACGCCACGCGCTCCCTCTAGGGCCGACCTACCCGCCAAACGCCACGCGCTCCATGTGGGGCCGACCAACCCGCCAAACGCCACGCGCTCCCTGTGGGGCCATCCTACCCGCCAAACGCCACGCGCTCCCTGTGGGGCCATCCTACCCGCCAAACGCCACGCGCTCCCTGTGGGGCCGTCCCAAACGCCACTTGCTCCCTGTAGGCCCTCCCACCCGCCGAAATCCACGCGCTCCCTGTGGGGCCGTCCCAAACACCACGCGCTCCCTGTGGGGCCATCCTACCTGCCACACGCTCCCTGTGGGGCCGTCCCAAACGCCACGCCCCAGCCCCAAACACCACGCGCTCCCTACGGGGCCGTCTCACACCGCCGAACGCCACACACTCCCTGTAGAGCATCCAAACCCCACGCACTCCCTGTGGGGCCGTCCCACCCACCGAACGTCATGCACACCCTGTGGGTCCCTCCCACCCACCGAACGTCATGCACTCCCTGTGGGGCCGTCCCACCCACCGAACGTCATGCACTCCCTGTGGGGCCGTCCCACCCACCGAACGTCATGCACTCCCTGTGGGGCCGTCCCACCCACCGAACGTCATGCGCTCCTTGTGGGCTCTCGCTCCCGCTATGTGCTTCCTGTGGGGCCACCCTGAACGCCATGCACACCCTGTGGGTCCCTCTCCACCCGCCGAACATCATATGCGCTCCCTGTGGGTCCCTCCCACTCGCCGAATGCCACGCGCGCCTGAATGGAGTGAAGTGTCTGCTCTGCACATGGAGGACAGGAGTGACATCACTGACCAGAGGAACGTAGCGGGAGGACGTCAGGGACTGGAGGAGGGAGATGATAATATGCTGCAGAGAGCCCACCCATATTATGTGACAGCATTGTAAGGGCCAACTGGCCCCCACAGCATGACCCCCCCCCCACAGCATGATCCCCCCCCCACATGACCTCTCCCAGCTCAGCCTCTGCTTTTGCTAGTGTCCTTAGGTGATGGACGTGACCATCTGAGTGTCTGAAGATTCCTTTCATCCTGGTCTGTTCCTGGTGGGGCAGAGGAGAGCTGTCTCCGGATTGGTCACTACAGCCAGCAGGACTGTCCCCGGACCCCACAATACAAGGGGGGGGTGGGGGGACCTCTGCTGGATCTAACATATCAGGTGAACCCAATGGCGGGGCGCTCTGCAGGTCCAGGGCAGTGATCTCCCCAGTGGAGGAATCGAGTCCCTGAAGGCCCCTGCTGAGCGCCCGCCATGATGGCTGCTCCATGGACCAGTGAATACCTGGCATTTCCCCAGGAGTGGCCCCTGTGCACCGGGGGGGGGGGGGGGGGTCAGGTTGGTACCACACAACGGAACATCTCACCGTAGTACCAGTCATCAGGAGGGCTGCGTGGCTGATGATGTCATTGTCTGCACGTGTGTGGTGCCATTTTGTTGGTTCCTCTGGCATGGAAACACGTAATCAGCAAGTCCCGGGTACAGCACAGACAGTGTAAGTCCAGCCCGGGGACACGGCCGGTGAGGGGACACGGCTGGACCGGGGGTGAGGGGGGACACGGCTGGACCGGGGGTGAGGGGGGACACGGCTGGACCGGGCGTGAGGGGGGACACGGCTGGACCGGGGCGTGAGGGGGGGTGACACGGCTGGACCGGGGGTGAGGGGGGGGGACACGGCTGGACCAATTCTCTTCTCTGTTGGATGGTCACCCCCATATTAGGGTTCTAGAGGCCTACGGACCCCCAACAAGCCATGTCAGGAAGGTGGGGGAAGGGTGGCAGGGTGGGCTCTCCAATCCCTCTATCATGTAGGGAGGACCCCCTGCAGAGAGCAATGACTGGATACCGTCCCCCGGAGGAAAGTCCTCCACTTCCATCGTCTCGGGGAGGAATTTTCTGTAGCTCTTTGTAGTCTGGGAGCAGCTGTCAGTTCCTATTGGTTACACCTGGGGCCACAGCATGGTCACCTCCCCCCCCCCCCCCCCCCCCCCGTGCCCCTGTACCAGGTGATCTCACCCCCTGTGCCCCATATACTGGGAAGTCTTGTGCCCCTATACAGGGAGATCTCACCCCTCATGCCGGGAGGTCATGCCCCTTGTGCCCCTATACCAGGAGGACTTGTCCATGCCGGGAGATCTCACCCCCTGTACCCATGCCAGGAGGTCTCACCCGCCGTGCCGGGAGGTTGTGTCCCTATACCGGGAGATCTCACCCCGTGTCCCCCATGCCAGGAGGTCTCACCCGCCGTGCCGGGAGGTTGTGTCCCTATACCAGGAGGTTTCCCCTTATGCCCCTATACAAGGAAGACTTGTCCCGGGCCCGTGCTGGGAGATCTCACCCCCTATACCAGGAGGGCTCACCCCGTGCTGGGAGATCTCACCCCCTATACCAGGAGGGCTCACCCCGTGCCCCCGTGCTGGGCGATCTCACCCCCTATACCAGGAGGGCTCACCCCGTGCTTGGAGATCTCACCCCCTATACCAGGAGGGCTCACCCCGTGCTGGGAGATCTCACCCCCTATACCAGGAGGGCTCACCCCGTGCTGGGAGATCTCACCCCCTATACCAGGAGGGCTCACCCCGTGCCCCCGTGCTGGGAGATCTCACCCCCTATACCAGGAGGTCTCACCCCTGTACCCATGCCAGGAGGTCTCACCCACTGTGCCAGGAGGTCATGTCCGTCTCACCCTCTGTGACCCTGTGCCAGGTGGTCTCAGCTCATGCCCCGTATACTGGGAGGTCTCGCCCCCCCGTGCCCCATATACTGGGAGGGAAGGTAGAATGTCGCCAGCACACTGAGGATCACCAGTACGGGTCCAAAAGTTTTAAATGAATGATCACATACTTCCAACAAGGCAACGTTTTGGAGTCCCGCAGGACCCCTTCATCAGACGTGTGACCCCCGCAGGACCCCTTCATCAGACGTGTGACAGAATGAGAGAACTATTTAAGAAAACCATCCACCAATCAGAGTGAAGCAAAAAGCCTGGCCCCGCCCATGATGTCACTTCCTCCAATCAATGTAAACAAAAATTATAGACGGTGAAAATCAATAAACCACATTCCCGGGATACAGACATTGCGGTCACGCGTGTGTCATGGAAGCATTGCGGTCACGCGTGTGTCATGGAAGCATTGCGGTCACGCGTGTGTCATGTATGTCAGCTGAGCGCAGCGCTGAGTTATGGAAACAACGACCAGCAGCATAAATGTCCCGACTGAAACTGAAAGCTGCTGCCTAGAGATGGGGGGGGGGGGGGGGGGGGGGGGGGGGTCCTATCGTCAGGTGAGCTGCAGTGAGGACACGCCTACAGTGTGTGTGTGGGGGAGGGAGAGTCTCCTCTCAGGTGAGCTGCAATGAGGACACACCTACATTGGGGGGGGTCTTCTATCATCAGGTGAGCTGCAATGAGGACACGCCTACAGTGGTGGTGGGGGGGGGGGGGGTGTCTCCTATCGTCAGATGAGCTGCAATGAGGACACACCTACAATGGGGGGGTCTCCTATCATCAGGTAAGCTGCAGTGAGGACACGCCTACAGTGGGAGGGAGGGAGGGGGGGGGGGTCTCCTATCGTCAGGTGAGCTGCAGTGAAGTCACAAGCCTGATGAAGGGGTCCTGCGGGGGTCACATGTCCCATATACTGGGAGGTCTCACCCCCCCCCCATGTTGCATATTTTGGGAGGTCTCGCCCCCTGTGCCCCTATCTTTGGAGGTCTCGCGCCCCCTCCCATGCCGAGAGGACTCGCCCCCCCTATGCCAGGAGCTCTCGCCCTGTGCCCCTATGCCGGGAGGTCTCGCCCCCCCCCCTGTCAGGAGCTCTCGCCCCGTGCCCCTATGCCGGGAGGTCTCCCCCCCTATGCCGGGAGGTCTCGCCCCCCCTATGCCCCTATCCTGGGAGGTCTCGCTCCCCCCCCCATGCCCATAGGTCTCGCCCCCTATGTCAGGAGGTCTCGCCCTATGCCTCATACTATGCCCCCCCAGCCCAGGGAGAATTCGGCCTCCATGTCAGTGACCATCTCACCTTCGATGATGTCCTCCTTCACTCTCTGCAGCTCTTTCCTCATCTCATCCAGTAGTTCCTGCAGAAGGAAGCACAGCGCTGGTTATATCATAGCCGGAAGATATGACCCCGCCCACCACGCCATGACATCACAGTAGGGCAGGAAGTGAGGCGGGATCTGAAGGGACATTTACCCCACCCTCTGGCAATGTACATACAGCGTGTATAGGGAACAATGAGATTTTTCAATTGGGGGGAGGATCGATAGTGTGAGTATGGAACGAGAACGTGCGGGAGGATCGAGAACGCGCGGGAGGATCGAGAACGCGCGGGAGGATCGAGAACGCGCGGGAGGATCGAGAACGCGCGGGAGGATCGAGAACGTGCTGGTGCATCGAGAACGTGCGGGATGACTGATAACGTGCGGGAGGATCAATAACGTGCGGGATGACTGATAACGTGCGGGAGGATCAATAACGTGCTAGTGCATCGATAACGTGCGGGAGGATCAATAACGTGCTAGTGCATCGATAACGTGCGGGAGGATCAATAACGTGCTAGTGCATCGATAACGCGCGGGAGGATCGATAACGCGCGGGAGGATCGATAACGTGCTAGTGCATCGATAACGCGCGGGAGGATCGATAACGCGCGGGAGGATCGATGTGCGAACTTCACAGCTCACAACAGTGTGGATTGTAAATCGATCGCAGGGAGGGGAGGGGCTGCAGACAACATGGCGACTGGTCACCATCTTCCTCCATCCTGACAGGCAGAGCGAGCGCACGGCGAGGAACGCAGGACAGGGAGTAATGTGCAGCCAATCAGGAGTGACGCGTGATGTATGCGTAGGGGGCAGGGCCGTTACTATGGGAGACAGGATGGCCCTACGTGATTGGATGCATCTTTCATGTCATACTCCTCATGGCGGACAATGGGGCGGGACTCACCTGCTTCATCCTCTCCATGGAGTCGGGTGATTCGTCGGTGCTGGGAGCCGCCTCCGTACTGCCGACCGTCGACTTCATCCTGGGGACACAGAGAGGGGTGAGCGGGGACACAGAGGAATACGGGGCCACCCTATGGTGCCACCAAGATGGCTGCCGTTACCTGGGCAACGTGGTGCTCCCTCTGTCCCAGGGGCGCCGGGCCGGTTCTGGAAACAAAAGGGAAGAGGAGAATCAAAATCATTCCAGGGAAAGCCACACCCCTCTCTGTGACCCCGCCTCTGCTTGCTGCAGGATTCCCCACCCCCTGCTGCCTCTATTGGCTTTTTACTGACACAGCCACACTGGAACCGCCCCCGAGGACCCTAGGGAAGTCGAGGGGAGTTTAAGGAGGGAAGGGTCATGGGGTAAACTCCATGTAATACTGCCCCGGGGTGGGGGTTGGGCAAACCCATATAATACTGCCCAGGTTCGGAGAGGGAAGGTGTTGGTGGCCAATAACCAAGTTAATACTGCCCCAGGAGGAGAGGGATAGGGTTGGGGCAAAACCAATTTTTAATAAAACTGCCATGGGGGGTGAGGGGGGAGGGTTGGGGCCAAACCATTTAATTACTGCCCTAGGGGGGAGGAGGGTTGGGGCGCAAACTCACAGTATCGTGTAATACTGCCCCGGGGGGGGGGCGAGGGTTGGGGGCCAAACCATTTGTGTTTGTTGCCCTTGGGGGGGGGGTGTGGGGAGTTGGAAGGGTTGGGGCCCCTGGGTACCATATTATTTACTGCCCCAGGGGGGGGAGGGTTGGGGCAATAACCATATAACTACTGCCCTGGGGGGCGGAGGGAGTTGGGGCTAACCTATTATTTTTTTTATAAATTTACTGCCTGGGAGGCGGGTGGTTAATACTGGTTGAATTTGGATTAGTCTAATGTCCTTTCAGGACTCCTGTACCAGAGGGTGACAAACGCTTTCCGTGTTGACTTCACTGCAGAATTAAACGGGCGTTGTAATTTCCTGGTTACAGGAATTGACCAGAGGAACTATCCCTCGCCCTGGGCAGGATCATCAGAGGGATCAAATCCCCGCCCCCTTCATAATGAGAGGGTATGGACGGGCATGCCTGGCTCTGTGAAGGAGTTCCTTGCTTTACCAGATTACGGCCTGGATGACTGGAGCGAGAACAGAAGTTCTGTTTTGGGGGAGAGGGTAGGGGGAGGGGGAAGGGGCTATAGAAACAACGATCGGTTCTAGAGGGGGAAGGGGCATAGTACCCGTATCGGTTCTAGAGGGTGCGTGAAGGGGCTGTAGAGATCCCGTATCGGTGCTAGGAGGGGGATAGGGGCATAGATTACAGAAAGGCGATCGGTGTATCTAGATAAGGGGGAAGGGTTACATGTTTTTCGGGGGAGGTTGGTTACGGGTGAAAGACGATGGGAGTCTGTATATTAGTATCTTAATGAGCATTTGAGTTGGAAATACTTCTTGTGGTGTGAAGTTTTCGAAGCGCTTTGTGACTCGCTGCAGCCTTCCGATCCCGACTTTTTTCCACCTGTAATGTACCGAGGGGTCAGGAATGTGTGGGAGGCAGGGACCTGCGTTGACCATTTGTTGGGGGGACCTAGTGGGTGGGTCAGGGGAGAGCAGTCGCCTTAAAGGGGTTAGAAGTGATGGAGGGTTAGTGGTGGGAGGGGGGGGGATTTTTGGGGGGCATTCAGCGTATGACCCCCAAATGTCTAATCAGATATACTAACAACACCCTGAGTACCACAACCAAACACCTCTATGTAAAACTAAAGCGACACCATGCACACGCGTGGTGGGCAAATGACCACATACAACCACGGAATCATAGTCCTATCCAGAGGACCAACACTGCCCCATACGAAATGTATTTGTTTGGGGCGGGTGTGTCGTAATTCTAGCCGCTCCCTAGGGATCATCCTACCTGTGCCGAACCTCACACTCACTATGAAGTTATGCATTCTATTCAACACAATATTTTTGCCCAACCTGCCCCCACAACTCCTTTCACCCCCCACCACTACACCCTCCGCGCCCCCCCCCCACACCCTTACTCCCATCTCCACCCAACCCCCTCCCCCAAATACATGAAACGGCCACTCTCTCCACACCGCATCAATACACCATCTGCCAGTAGGAACTCTATATGCCCCCCATCCCACTATATAATAACATACCCCACAATATACCCTTCATTCCTCCCCCATCCTACCGGACATCCCCCCCACCCATCCCCAATCAACACCATTTCGCACACCAAACACCCCCCCCCCCACACACCACCCCCACCCCCAACCCCCCCCCAACCATACCCAATCACCCCCCCCCCACCCAACAAACCACACCACAATCACACTACAAAACCCCCCCATCCCCCGCACCCAATCTCCCCCAATCCCACCCCCACACACACAAACCCCCACAAATAACCCTATACCAATTCCCCCCCCCCCCCACAACATATCCCCCCCCACCCACCCCATCAATCCCCCCCCCCACACACCCCACATATCCCCCCATCAACCCCACAACATCCCCCCCCCCCCCCCCACACCACCCAAACCTCCACATCCTAACCATACCCCCACCCCACCCCCACCATCCCCACAACATCATCCCCCACATCCAACCCACACAAAAACCCATTAAAAACCCCCCCCCCCAACAAACCTCCCCCCACACCCCCCCACTCCCCCCACCTACCCCCCAACATATCCCCCATTACAATCATCCCCCCACATCCCCCCTCCATCCCCCCCTCCAAATCCCCCCTCAGCCCAATCCCCCCAACATACCCCCCACCCCATAAAACCCCCACCACCCGACCCCCCCCCCACCTCCCTCCCACATCCCCCCCACCCCCCACCACTCCCCCCAACCACCCCCACATATCCCACATCCCATCCCCCCACTACCCCCACTCTCCCCCCACCTGTCCATCCCCACACCCCCCCCCCCCAACATCACCCCAACCCCCACCACACTCCTCCCCCACATTTCACCGTCATCCCCCACGTTCCCTCCCCCCACACCTCCCCCCCACCGTCCCCCCCCCACTCTCCCCACCAACTACGTCTCCCCCAGTCACCCTCCTCCTCCTACCCCCCCCCACCGTCTCCCCCCACACCTCCCCACCCCCACACCGTCCCCTCCTTTACGTTCCCCCCCACCCACACTCCCCCCCAAATCCCCTCCCCCCCACACCCCCCCCACACGTCTCCCGTTCAACAGTCCCCCCCACCAGCCTCTCCCCCCCCACCCTTCTTTTCCCTAAGACCACACCTCTCCCATTCCACCCTCTCCCCTCACCACGTCCCCCCCACAAACCGTCCCTCCCATCCCCCTCCACCCCCCCACACGTTCCCCCACCGTCTCCCCCTATACGTCTCCCCCACCGTCTCCCCCACACGTCTCCCCCACACGTCTCCCCCCCCCCGTCCTCCCCCCCCCCACTCCGATCCCCCACGCGTCCCCCCACCTCCCCCCCCCCCTCAAACGTCATCCCCCACACCCCTCCTCCTATACGTCTCCCCCCCCAACCTCCCCCACCGTCTCCCCCACCGCTCACTCCCCCACACGTCCTCCCACAACACCCCTCCCCCACTCGACTCCCCCCTCACTCCCCCCCCCACACGTCTCCCCAACGTCCCCCATCCTATACGTCTCCCCCACACGTCTCCCCCACACCTCCCCCACACGTCTCCCCCACCCCTCCCCCTCATACAACACCCACTTCCCCCCCACACGTATCCTCCCCCCGCACCACGTCTCCCCCCCCCGAGAACTCCCCCACAAACCCCCTTCCCCCACAAGTTTACCCCCCACCACTCTCCCAAGTCACGTCTCCCCCACACCGTCTCCTCCCCACCCCCGTCTCCCCCTACACGTCTCCCCCACACGTCTCCCCCATCCACCCCCCCAACACCCCTCTCCCCCACACGTCTCCTCCTCATACCACCTCCCCCCACGTCTCCTCCCAACACGTCTCCCCCCTCCCCTCTCCCCCCCTCCCCCATATCCCACTCCTATACTACTCCCCCCACTCCGTCCTTCCCCCAACATATCCACCCCCCCCCCCCAGTCTACCCCCACACGTATCCTCCTCCACAACCTCCCCCCACCCGTCCTCCCCCACCCCCGTCTCTCCCCCACACGTCACCCCCACACCACTCCCCCCACACGGTCTCCCCCACCCCGACTCTCCCCACAGCCCCCCCATCCCCCACCATTCTTTCTCCCCCCCATACGTCCATCCCCCCCCCCCTCCTCCAAACGCTCCCCCCCTATACCCCCCCACAAACACTTCCTCCTCCTATACGTCTCCCCTCACAACTTTGCTATTCTCTCCCCACACGTCAACATCTAATCCCCCCCCACACATCCCCCCCTCCACCTTCCCCACACGTCTCCCCCACACGTCTCCCCCCAAATCTCCCCCTACACTCTCCCCCAAAGTACAACGTCTTTATACAATCCCCACACCCCCCCCCACACGTCTCCCCCCGTCCACCCCACCTTACGTCACACCCCCAACTCTCCCCCTCCCCCCCCACACGTCCCCCACACGTCTCCCAACACCCCATCCCCCCACGTCTCCCCCCACACGTCTCCCCCCACGTCTCCCCCCCCTATTAATATCCTCACGTTTCATGAACCCAACACGTCCCCCCACACTCCACCCCCAACACCCTCTCCCCCATACTTTACCCCGTCCCCCAAACGTCCCCCCCACACCCCCCCCACACGTCTCCCCCTACACCATCTCCCCCACACAATCTCCTCCTATTCGTCTCCCCCCACCACCGTCTCCCCCCCGTCCTCCCCCACACCCACCTCCCCCACACGTCTCCCCCCACCGTCATCCCCCACACGTCTCCCCCACACGTCTCCCTCCACTCTAACTCACAACTACCTCCCCCCAAAAAACACAAATCCCCCACACAACATCTCCCCCCCCGCACTCTCCCCCATATTTTAGTCCCCCCCCACGTCCCCCCCACACGTCTCCCCATACGTCCTCCCCCACAACAATCTCCCTCCTACATACGTCTCCTCCACATACGTCTCCCCCCCACGTCCCTCCACACGGTCTCCCCCACACGTCCCCCCCCAAACCTCTATCCCCACGTCTCCTACCCCGTCTCCCCCACTACACTTTCCCCCCCACACCTCCCCCATACACCGTCCCCCCAC